ATTTTAAAATCAGAGTCGGAATCCTGTCATACCTCATCCTGTCACCTCTTTCTTTCCAGTTCCTACTATACTGCTCCATAGATTCCATTATTTATGGAACTCATGGTCTATATTTTCTTCATCAATTTCAGAGCTGAAATTGTATATCCTGCCGCCCTGTAAGGATTAGGATCCTTGCCGTCATAGTCCTTACGTAACATTCTCTTTCACGGGAGGATGGGTCTGCCGGTTACAATTGCTGCTGGACCTCTCCAGCGCAGTCATCCTCAGGTCCGAGTCCCGCGGGATTCATGGCCGTATTTTACTCACTCAGGTTCGAGGCTCACCGAACCTGGAGGACCAGGTCCCCGTATTTATATAGAATTATGTTTTACTTTGTCTTCACCCTTTTCACTTTTAAATTTGCAGTACTTTCAGATTCTGACAGCTTTCAAGACTATCCGCTCTGCGACTAACATCCTGTTAGGACACAGTACATCCTTCCAGATAGCGTCTTAGAAGACTGTTACATTGCAATCAGCGCACACCTTGTTAGCACAATTTTATCACTCTGTTGTCTACTGTGTTCTTCCTTCCTCACTCTCTCTTCATTTGTCTAAAGTTGTGTGTGATCGAGAGGGATTGTCTCTCCTAACGACATAAATCTGGCAGCCTGAAGCAGTAAAGGAGAACAATTAAGACAAAATGAAATAGGATCGAGGTAAGCTCCTTTATGAACCCACTTTAACCTAATGAACGTAACTTGTTCAGTAAAAAAAATTACGAGCTTCAACTGGCCTAATTGTTGTAGAACTGCATCACTCCATTTATCCAACATAGTCTGTGTTAAAGCTCAACAACCTGTAAAATAATAACAATCCATCCACTAACGGTAAGTAATCATCTGACATTACGGCAGAATCATAGTCCTCCTTGAGGTGAGAGTCGATAAGCAGGTTCAGAACTTCCCCAGCTTTTTGGAAGTTTCATTATCGTCATCACAAGAGCCCGCCACATAGACCTACCCTGATTCACTTCAATCCGGCGCATATAATGAAATCATATTTCTTTAATATCCACTAGTATTTCCGTAAAAAAATAAATTCTGCACTGCAATTATAAAAAGCATTTTTTGTTCGTTATGTTTATTTACATGACGCTCAATTTTTATGGGAATTAAATATTTATTTTCCCTTTCCTATATCCATTTCGTATTTCTGTCTCCTTCAACTGTCCGGCATCTCTTCTTCATCTTTTGTCCTCCTATCATCATACCCTTCTTCCTGCTTTCCCCGCCTCTACGTTAAATCACATCCCTCTCCACGGTTCGTCCATACAGTTAACCGTTTGATACATCCATCTTCTCTCTTCTACGCAGTATTGCGGCGTATAGACTCGATGCTAAGCAAAGACCTCAAAGTGAAAAATTAGTTTAGCCGTTACTATGCAACAGGTGAATAAACAAACACCGTTTCTGAGCAACGGCTTGGTTGTTCCCGCGGAAACGAACACACACACACAACATTAGATGTAAGATGTTTTCGATGTGTTCCTCGCAGAGGGGTTATGAAGAAGACAACTGGGTAAATTCAGTCCAGTTGCAGAGTATTCACTGGATAGTAATGACGTGAGGGTGGGAAGCTGAAGTATCTCCTCTCTTAGAAACCGTTGCTAGGAAACGGCTGCTGAAGACATGGCAGGCTGTGAAAAGACTTAGCGTGTAGTGATTTGTAAAGTGTGGAGCTCAGGGATAGCGCTCTAATTGCTTGTAGTTCCGAGCGGTATATACAAGATGTCAATAAAAATAATTCGCAAATCCAAACCCCGCCTGTAGTCACTCCTAAATACGTGACAGTTTTCTTTTCCCTTTCCATTTATACTTACACGTGTATGAGTGTGACTGTTGGTGATTAGATTTATTAAACTTAACTATAACTAACTATAGCGCTATCGCTGATGTCCACAACTTAGAAATCCCTACGGTATATGCTAAGCCTTCTCAGTCTGATTTCACCAGTCGTTTCCTGATAATGAATCTTAATGATGGAGATTCTTCAGCTTCTGTGCTCACGTCGTTACTGTCCGGCTAATGTCCCATAACTGCACAGTAGCTCCAACTGACTTACTCCCAGGCAGGCCGCCATGTCACACCAACTTCCTAGATTTCGCTTCACAGACTGATTTAGAGCTAACTGCTCAGAGTCAGAGTTAATTTAAGACTGGCGGTTTACCGCCAATCAGTTCTCCTTGCGCCAAGTCCCTTGAGACACACGACCAGTATTTCGTTCAACTGAACACTTGCAGTTATACTACGTAATATACGTACACGCAACACCGTCTCTGACGAGAGAGTGGATTGATAGCAAGTCAAAGTCTCATTGTGACTGACGGTCAGTCAGTAAGTCAGTAAGTCTTGGTGTCGAGCCCCAACTGGGGTTCACGACCATATATTCATTACTCCTTGACTGTTAAGGTTTTCCATCAGTTTCCATCAGTGCCTGTATTGTTGCGCCTGAACTCATTGCTAGTTGGAAACTGTCTGTTTCGCTGTCGCTACTTAGTAACGGCTGTACAAGCAACAATGCTTTCACCTATCGTCACACCTCTTCCTGTCCGACAACGGAAGTGGACAGTCCGATAATCCACCGTAGCCCCATGACGATAGACGTCAGACCGGTTCCCCCTTGTCGTAGCAACAGCAAAAGTTAATATGGGGTTTCCCCACAGAGTTCCCACTGTTTTAACGATCGAAGTATTGTCATTTGTAACGACCCCAATAGTTTTCTTAAGGAGAAATTAGTGGTAAAATATGTTGACTTGGTCCAGAACCCATGCAAGAAGCAGAAAAATTAACAAATTTTCGGTCACTGTCTGTACCAAGCCGAACTTCTTTTGATTTTACAGTTTCCTACAACTTTCCGTTTGTGACAAACAGGATGGGACAGACGGGCAGGGTAACTCATTGCCGTATCAATTGTTTGAAACATCTACCTAGCAACGAGTTGAGGAAACTTCATAGACTGAGATATAATTTGTGCTGAAGTGATTTCTGTGTAGGTTGAAGAAAGTGTTATACTGCATATTTCTGTATTGTTGTAGGTCTACCCGACACCAAGCCCTGCATTATGATTCCTTACCATCGCTTCTGAACGTGTAATGATCCGAAGGGCATTAATGTCTATTTGGTTTAATTAGGATTATTACTAATTGATTTATTGTATTGATTTTCATATTATTATTGAAGGAATTTTGATACTGAAATCCAGTATCTGTGGGATTTGCTGTTGTTTTGCGGAGTATTCTGGCAACAATGTTTGGATTGGTGAATAGATTTATTGGACACTCACAAGTAGTAACTTACATACTTACTCATGGAGCTGAGCCCTTCTGGAGGAGCACCCAATTCTGCAACTACTCAAGAATTTCCCAGCATTTTATGGAACCCGCAGGTTCATTACCGTGTTCACAAGAGCCCTCCACTGGTCCCTATCCTGAGCCAGATCAATCCAATCAATACTTTCCCATCCTATCTCTCTAAGATCCATTTTAATATTGTCCACCCACCTACGCCTTGGTCTTCTCAGTGGTCTCTTTCCTTCTGGCTTTCTCACCAATATCCTATACGCATTCCTCGTTTCCCCCATTCGTGCTACATGCCCTGCCAACCTCATCTTCCTTGACTGGATCATTCTAATTATACTTGGAGAAGAGTACAAGTTATTAAGCTCCTCATTATGCAGTTTTCTCCAACCTCCTGTCACTTCATCTCTCTTCGGTCAAAATATTCTCCTCAACACCCTGTTCTCAAATACCCTCAGTCTATGTTCCTCCCTTAATATCAGAGATCAAGTTTCACACCCATACAGAACCACAGGCGAAATTATAGTTTTATATATTCTAATTTTTATGTTTCTGGACAGCAGACGAGAACACAAAAGGTTCTGGACTGAATGGTAGCAAGCATTACCCGAGTTAAATCTCCTCTTAATTTCCTCCTGAATCAGGTTTCGATCTGTTATCATTGTTCCCAAATATGTGAATTGTGCCACATTTTCAAAACATCTGTTTCCTATCTTTATATTACGATTTTGCCCTGCATTTTGGCAACGAGACAGTAACATATACTTAAGATTTGAGGCTTTCACGGCGGTGACTATGAAGAAAGCAGTCCTCTGGGATTTGGCACCTTGTATATGTGGTGTTAACCGACGTTTCGGAGGAACGTATCGCCTCCATCTTCCGGGTAGAAGGAAAAAATATAAGAAATCCGCAAGCGAAGAGACCGTGAGAACCGGTAAAAGCAGACTGGTCTCTTCGCTTACGGATTTCTTATATTTTTTCCTTCTACCTTGAAGATGGAGGCGATACGTTCCTCCGAAACGTCGGTTAACACCAGATATACACGGTGCCAAATCCCAGAAGACTGCTTTCTTCAACATATACTTAGTTTTCTCAGTGTTTACTTCTAGACCAAACTCTTTACTTACCTCAATTAAAGTTCTTGTGTTTTTCTTTATGGTATCTAAATTATCACCCAGCAGATTCACATAAGTCGTAACTACAATTAATTATAATACTCTAAAGATTACTGTAACTACAACACATAAAATAAAATTTTCAACATCTGCTTGCTTAGTCATTGCTTCGTCTCTCGATTTCTCCATCTGGGTCTGTGTCTCCCGAACTCTCTCTCTGGCTGTCTGAATCCCGGAATGAACTCACTTCATGCGGATCGAATACAGATCACCAAGTCGAGCAGTTGGTTGTTCTCTGTTATTCTCCGTTGTCATGGAAACGTGTGACAATCTCCGGGCAACGCCTTGATTCTTACCAGTGTGCACGTTGCCGCAGAAACTTGTTTCAGGTAGACGTCTTAACAGAAACTTAGTGTTTTCTTAGTCGTTGCGCATCAATGGACGTCTAGCTCTGGCTTCACTATTCCAGCTTTCAGGCATCAAGTCGTATTATTAAATAGGATTGAATTAAAATACGGCTTTTGAATTTAATTTGGGATGTTGCAGGTAGTGCGGATGTTCGTAATCGTGGTGTCCATATTTGCGTTCTGCTGGCTACCGTACCACGGTTACTTCATCTACGCCTACCACAACAACTCGATCGTGGCAAGTAGCTATGTGCAACATATGTACCTGGCATTCTACTGGCTCGCTATGTCCAATGCAATGGTCAATCCTCTCATCTACTACTGGATGAATAACAGGTAATGACACACATTTCCACACTGTGGAGGCAGAGATATAATTAGCTAGATTTTATGTCGAAAAGTTAGGAAGTTTCAATTCCTCAGCATTTAGAACAAGGAGACTGAACTGTGAAAGTTAAGTCCTGACTCTTCATTCACAAACACAGTGTTCAATGCATTATGTTAAATACATTTATAAAGGAGTGTGGTTAATATATAGAGAGTTTACTGCCTTCCTTAACATCAAGAATACCTGCATTTTGCTTATTGACACTTTGTATGGTTCTTGAAATTCTCACAATGAACACACGTAATTGCCCTAAACAGTGTTAAGAAATTATTGTTCATAACATAGAATAAATGTGTGTCCTGTGATATAGGAACGGAATTTAGGAAGTAGCATGTCCTTGATCATCCATATCAGTATATATTGTCACGCGTATTGTGGTACGCGTGTCGAAAATAACGGGTTCTATTTCGGATAATTAGGTTTATTAGCACTTCGGTTACGCTCTCTCTTAATCAAATTTAATTACAGCGCTATCGCTGATTCCACACTTTACACACTAATACACACGCGCTAGCCCTCTCCTGGTAATGTTATTAAAACACCGGAACAAGCGCCTCCAGTCACTCCACACATTTATTTTTCCTTTTGGCACTACAGCCCCAGTGGGCCTAGGCCTACCTCCGTGAACTTCTCCGTTCACTTCGGTTTTTCTAGATCTTACACATTCGGTAGGACTCCTTGGGCGGGCGATCAGCTCGTCGCAAGGCCTCTACCTGTACACACACAAACTAACATCCATGCCCTGAGTGGGATTCGAACCCACGATCCCGGTTTCCAAGCGAGCGAAGACAGTACATGCCTTAGACCGCTCGGCTACCGTAACCGACCGCTCCACATATTACACATGAATAGAGTCTTCTAATCAAAAATCAAATTTTCACATGACGAAATTTCCGTGACTGTCTTCTACGACGAGAGCTCAGAAGTCAGAACTCTTACACTGTCACTTGTTATGTCGGTAACTGTCCTTATATAGCTTCCTCAATGACCATGCAGAAAACACAGCCTCTGTTGTTGACACGTGTTTACCGAACAATTGCCTACAATCGATCACGTCATCTAGACATTTAGTGTCTATAGCATTCATATTTTTAATTTGGGAGATGGACAGGCACACTTTCCTCTCAAATACTTTTCTACTGTATGATTTTATTTAAAGACCGCGCCATAGCTCAAGCGATTAATCTCTGGCTTCCCCGGGTTCGATCCCGGGTCTGGTCAAGTGGGATTTGTGGTGAACATATTGGCGATGGGACGTTTCTTCTCCGAGTACTTCGGTTTCCCCTGCGAATCTTCATTCCATCAAATTCTCCATCATCATATTCACCCGGGGCAGGTACAATCGGCCAATAAGTGGCCGCCGTGCCGAGTGAACCCAGCTGGACTCCACCCCCCACCCCCCCACTAAGATACAAAAAAGTATTTTTATTTATGTTTACCTACCGTTTATGTGACGACATCATCAGTGTCTTAGAATATATTTTACTGAGGATTACTTAATGATGCTATGAGGAAGTATGCTATGTACCATAGAAAATTAGTTTGATAGAAGAATGATGAAATAATTTTGAAGGGAGCTCCCGTGGACTAATCGAAGTATTTTCCAAGCATTTAGCTGGAGGCAATGAGGAAAACTATGGAAAAACTCAGTTCCTCCCGGAATTCTAACTGATTAGTTCTAGAATAAAAGGAAAGTTTATCACTACTGCTCCAAAACCAATCCGTCATTATACATTGTATAGCGCCGAGTGATAGCGTGATTAGTGAATCATGAATCAGTTAGACTGTGGAAAGGAACTGTATAACCTAATGCCTATTCTAGCACATAACTATTAGTACTGGCGAAACCCACGAAAAATTTCACTCAGGATACCCAGTAGTTCAGCTGAGATTCATACCAGTTGCAACATGAGCCTTCTTCACCAGTAACAGACTAAAAAAAAGGAGACTGGGTCTCTTCAGACCTCTAAAAGCACTTTCATCCGTTTCAGGTTCAGAATGTATTTCCAGCGGATTGTATGCCAATGCTGCTGTTTCCGTAGGAAAGGGAGAGACAGCATAGAACTCCGACCAACGAAACAAAACAGTCACTCTGACTTAGCGCGATCTAGGTCGGAGAAGTTCAGAGGTAAGCATATTCATCTTGATCTAGGTCGGAGAAGTTCAGAGGTAAGCATAATCAGCGCGATCTAGGTCGGAGAAGTTCAGAGGTAAGCATGTTCAACGTGATCTAGGTCGGAGAACTTCAGAAGTAAGCATATTCAGCGTGATCTAGGTCGGAGAAGTTCAGAGGTAAGCATATTCAGCGCGATCTAGGTCGGAGAACTTCAGGGGTAAGCATATTCAGCGTGATCTAGGTCGGAGAAGTTCAGAGGTAAGCATATTCAGCGCGATCTAGGTCGGAGAAGTTCAGAGGTAAGCATATTCAACGTGATCTAGGTCGGAGAAAGTCAGAGGTAAGCATATTCCTTTACATTTTTGTCAATGTAAATGCTCAGCTAAATTTAGTCGGCACTGAGAGAATTAAATAATAAAATTACTACTATTCTAATTGTATTGATTATAAGTAGAGAGGTACACACATCAACTTAAATTGTCCGTAAGTTCAGGAACTGAAAATTCATTTCAGGGAGGTGTATCACATAAAATCATACTTTGTGTTTTTGGCAGTCATGCAGATAACTAAGAGATCAGTGTTAACACTTGACCTGTACCCACCCCACTTCATGGCCATCTACATCTCCGGTCCTGTTTCCCTTATTCCGCAGTGTTTCGTTTCATACTTCTGTGGGCCTTTATCTCAATATTTATATAGATTTACTGATTTGTATTTCTCTCACTTAATGTGAGTTGAGTTAGAAAAGGAGTTTAAAGTGGAATGAACTTATAAAAACCAGAATAAATGAAGGACTGCCTGAGAGGAAGTCAAGTGGGACTTGAGAAACGAGTAAAGGACTACACGAAGAAGTAACCGGTGTCCTTACCCTTATCCCCTTGCATCATCCTCAACGTACTGGTCAAGAGAAATGACAGATCGCTGTGAACCAGATAAAGGGACAAGCCATGTCACGTGAACTTCGAATTCTGAGCGTCTTTGACTTTCGCTTGGCTGACATCACCTCGGGACTGCCCGAAAAGAAGTCGTACTTTCTGCAAATGACGTTTAGGGTGTTCGTCCTATCTTGAAGAAGTCGTTGGTAGAGCACAGAAGTCTTGTTCGATGGCATCCCGAGAGGAAGGACATCATTGACAGCAGCCACATCTGCAAGTATTACTGGACTCAGTGAAAATTTCTGGCGTTGAGAAATGGCATAGTTTTGCACCATTGCTTCTGAGCCAGCTAAGGTGCTTGATAGCCCTAATAGCCCTCCTTGAGGGCAAGAAAATAGAGCTTAATAGTGGATCTTCGAGAACATCTTGTCAGTTTCAACCAACAGTACTACTGGCTACAGCGAGGAGCGGAATTTAGAGAGACTTTCAACAATATGACACCTGCATATCACGCAGAGGACCCGAAATCCGTAGCCGGGATCTAACTAATGAACGTGATGCCAAGATATTTTTCGAGATCACCAGCGACAGGATGAAGGCTCGGTATATTTCTCTAACCAGTGTAGCTAGATTCCAGGAAGGAGACCAACATTGTTTTACTGCCCAGCCTGGACCAAAGTGAGGTCGCCTAATCTATAGTTTTCCTGGGAAGGGCCTTGCAGCGTGGTGATTCGGATCCACGAATTATAGATTAGTCGTGTACCTGGATAGACTGTCATTCTATTCAAGTACTACTCAGGACCGGCAGCCTTGAGAAGGAATCATTGCCGCAGGACTGAATGTGGAGCGGTGAGGAGGTGGCTTAGATGCCCCAATGCACGCCCCTCTTTCTCCAAACTTTGAGAATCCACATATCCCTCTCTCGTTTTTTATTTCTTCCTGATATGTAGAGATTTCCCCTGTGTGCATTATGACCCTAAAAATCTCGAAGTTATAAGTGACTTAAATTTGGGTAGGAAAGGAGAGTAATTAAGCTTAGAAGTGGTGTAGAGCGCCCGTGTATAGAGAACTAGACATAAAGCTGGAAGCACTGTGACTTGCGTGCCAGTTGAGTACATGGCACAGGAATAGGACAGCAGATGTACTATGCCTCTTTATTCTATACATAATTTAAGTGCTGTCTCTTTCTCTCTTCAACGGCTAACTTTGTGCGAGTAACATTGATTGACTTCTTTCCAAAACAATCTAGTAACAAAAATATACTCTTAGGTGGATTAATGTATTGTAACGTGTTTCGTTACTGAATATACCGTAGAGATTGTTAATTGATTTATTTAACCTACAAGTCTCGGCTACAATTAATTATAACACTGATACGGGTTTACACACTTTACAACCCTACACACAAATCTCTTCACACTGTCACGATTCACTCGTTACAACTAAACTCGGTGACTGCTACAATTCAGTTCAACTCGTAACTCTCTGATGGCTAGATTTGAACTCAACTCGCAGGCTGCTGCCTTGAGAACTGTTGATAACACACTCGCTCGTAGGCTTGCTCGGAACTAACTCGGAACTGAACTCGGTGATGGCCACATTACAACTAACTCGTAGCTGCTGTGCAGTTCCCTTATATAGCCGCAGTGGTGCCTGTTGCGTGCCACGTCACAGTAGGAAGCGGTGCCGCGTCACCGTGTTTGCGTATAGCCTAGCAACGCTGTTACTTCGTGCCGTCTTACGTCACCGCGCGTTGCGCGTTACGTTACCGTGCGGAGGGGGGGAGGGGAGCGCTGACTCATTCGCCACGTCACTGTGGCCTGAGTTGCCACGTTGCTGCTGGGTAGGGAGGGGTTCTCCGTTGCGCAACATGTCACAGTATATTTTCATTGGACAGAGAGCCAGGAATTCTTTCAAAAACTCAGATTAACAGAACAGTCGTAAGGCCAAGCCATAGCTCAAGCGGTCAGTCGCTGACTTCCCAGTATTTCGGTTTCACCTGCCAATCTTCATTCCACCAATTGCTTCACAATCACCCTCACCTATCATCTGGGGCTGGTACAAGTAGCCGCAGTACAAGGGACTTAGTCCCACCCCACTAGTAATAAAAAAAATTTAACAGTCTTACATTCGTCCTAAATTAATAATTTTTAGAAGCATCCTAGAAAAATTACATACACCGTTAGTTCTGAACCTGGTTTCCGGTTCTGGGAAATAAACACCTGGAGATTAGTACAATCATAATGTGTAGGAAACAGCACATATATAATTTATTTTGGTGATATTACGGCTAGAAAACTGTAACCAATCTAATATCTACATCTTTAATAATGCTGTTATTTTTACTGTTTCTTTTAACTGTAAATGGATTACCCGGTGGCAGTGGTACTACAATAAGACACAACACACAAATGACATACATCACAGAAAATAACAAACCACGCAGAAACAAAACATAGCCCACAAAACTGCACAAATAATAAAGTACGCACTACACACAATGCATACAATGGAAATATAATTTTAACTACAACAAATATAATTACAACTACAATTATATGAATTCATATTACAAAAAATGAGCATACTATACACTAAACAGTAACAGTAATGAAATACATCTAGAATTATTAACATCTGGGGAAATGTCAATTGCAGGACAAAGATATTCTTGTTTTCAGAATGAGCCAATTCACTGTAAATTTGTTGTCTTTAGGTATTCCACACACCCAGTGTTCTTTCTCTGTAGAAAGTCAACATAATGAGGAATAACATTCGTCCACTGAGACACATCTTCCATTGTTGCACGTAGACTCTTTACCGAGCCGTTGCCTAGAAACACTTTGATCACACCCGTTACAGTATGTACACAAAGTGGCAAGAACAAATTTTTAATTTAGCAAAATTACACACTTTTACGGATTTAATTGGATTTCATATACTTTGTGTATAGTGTGACATGTTGCGCAACGGAGAACCCCTCCCTACCCAGCAGCAACGTGGCAACTCAGGCCACAGTGACGTGGCGGATGAGTCAGCGCTCCCCTCCCCCCCCCGCACGGTAACGTAACGCGCAACGCGCGGTGACGGAAGACGGTGTGAAGTTATTTGTCGCGTTACCTACATAACACGTGACAATTTGGTGTCAGAAGTGGGATCAGTAGCGGAAACACGTGACAATACATTCTAATGGATTTATTGAATTGAGATGATTCATTACAGACAAAATTTCTTTCCATTCAGAGTGTTAAATAGAGGCATTCTTTTACATTCTACCACCCTTTGATTGTACCTAACGATACTGCAGTTGAGTCTGTCAGATCCATAGAATTGTCACTAAAATTCGCCAGATTTAATACGCTCGATTAAAATGACTGAAATTACATTACACGTTTATTATTATTCCGTTCCTGTTGATTCGTCTGTAGCATAGGCCACCCGTGAAACGTATGTCACATGAGTTTCTTCAGTCTTACGGATAGTCTGTAGGGCAGCTTGGACAGGGGATGAGCCCGTCGGAAGGCCGCTACCCACACAGGACCACACAAACACAGAGTAAACGCAGACAGACTTCCAAGCCTCGAGTGGGGTTCGAACCCATGATTGCAGTGTTTGAGGGGGCGAAAACATTTCATGCCTTAGACCAATCAGCCACTGTGATGGGCACATTATGCATAATGATAATTAATTAATTAACTAATTAATTGATTAATTCTTGAGCCACTTCTACAAAACTAAACATTTTTCCCTTCTTGTTTTATGAGGTAACATAATGACCAACACAGATCGTGAAGACAGGTTCAGGCCATATCCTAAGAAAATGGAGGTAATATTCAACGTATATTCTGATAAATATTACGTGATTTAATTACGAATAAATTTCATAGTTTTACTCGTAATGTTCACTATTGGAAATATATTTCCATGTATCAATGAAACGAAATGAATAAAGTTTTTTTCATTCGTACTTAAGTATCTGGGGGCACGCGGTAGCGTAGTTGGTTGAGGCACAATGCTACAAGCCGGAAGGTCACGGGATCGAATCCCTATTAAGTCAATGAATTTTTTTCAATTCACCTAATTCTTCCAGCCGCACTGTGGACCTGGGATCGACTGAGCCTCTAACAGAAATGAGTACCAGGAATTAATTAAATAATCTTCCTTGGGAGTAAAGCGCGGCCGGCGCGTAAGGCTGACAACCTTACCGCCATCTTTCAGCCGATTGTCTAGATAGTGTGGGGCCCTCATCGTCTCACAACCCTATGGGCCTTCACCGCCTGTTCCAGGGATAATTTTACTTTCTTACCTTACTAACCGACACGTTCCCGCCTCATGACTCAAGGCAAGCGGGTTCAAACGCAGCGGAGGTCGTGGAATTTTTAAAGGCGGAAAAATTCAGGGAACAAGTGCTCCGGGAGGGACTTTAAGCCCAGGGTCCCTTGTAGTAGATTTACGGCATGTAAAAGATCCTCATGTCTCTAGGAGACCTCTGAGCAAAATTAGGTAAAAAGTTTCCCTCCCAAGTAGTTTCCAATGCCTTCGGTAGATGGGGGAAATATCGGGTACCTCTGCCAGTAGAGGGGCCGAACTCGCTGGCTGACCGGGGCTGATAGCAAGCACCAGTATCGGAAGGGTATGGCGTCTGGTAGAATATCAAAGGGGGACGTACAATAAATCAACAACTGGTCGCGGTGCATGGGGAAACCCACCCTCTCTAATAATGAATGAATGAATGAATGAACCGATACGTCCTTTTCACAGTAAAATGGCATGAGCGCTCAGTGACATACAGTACCAAATTCTGATGAAGTTCTCCGCCTATTTCAGATCAGGTACGAGGGTCATCAGTCCACTGGCGGCGACGCACTGAGGAGACACAGGTGCGTCACATCACAACATCCGCTCCTTGCAGCAATGGAGTCATTGCTGGGGTCAGTTTCTCATGACCTTCCCCCAGTCACAACTTTCTCCATCGGCCAGTCATCAACTCCGTATAGTGTACACTGTGCAACCTTACAGAGGTTGATTCACTGGATACTAAAGAGTGCTGTGATACCTTGTTACCACACGTACCTTATTTTGTGTGAAATGTTACATGTATCGAATGCATGTTCGCATGTTAAATTCTGAATTCTTTTCGAAACGAGTGAATAATTCTCATGAAAGTCGCTATGAATCTCGTGCTTTTATAGGTCATCACGAAATCTTACTTTTACTTGCTTTGCATCAATATATGACAAAAAGGGTGGCGAACTTCTGAGGTGGGAGAGATAAAATATACACCATTAAGTCTGTATTGCTTAGAAGATACTGGTTTTAGTACCTCTAGAGTTCTTTGTAAAATTCAGTATCTTTTGCCTCAAGAACTCATTCTCGTTACTCATTTCTGGCATAGTGTGTTTCCGGTTACAAGTCAAGACAATTCAGTTTCCACTTATATATGCAAGGTATTTTGAAAGTGGAAATTGAAAATACATGAATATTAAATGATAGGGGGATACACAGATATAACCACATACTCTCCTTTAATAAGATAAGGACCGAATAGGAAATTACTCTTCAAACAATTTTTCTATTGCTACATATATTCGTTGCCGTGGGAATGTTTTTATCGAACCGTTGCCTAGTACTGAATTGTGGGATACAATTGACCGAACAGTTGCCTTGCAACGATAGGAGGCATACATAAACAGATACAAAGACTGATGGGAGGGATTTATGAAGTACGCCGTTGATATTGGCTCAATTGCCATGATATACATACCAAGTTTCATAAAGACTGATTCAAGCATTCAAAAGTTGATAAGTATACTGAACCACAAAGAGGAGGAATATTACTAAGCCTACTCTAGGAAGGTAGACTATTAATACTAAAGTGGCGTTCACGTAAAACTTTGCAGAAAGAGTGACAATAATGTGCCACTTCATGCGGGGTTCTAGAATTTTGTATAATAACTGGTAATTAAAAATCACATCATGGCGGCCACCTACATTCTGTATTTAGCTTCCAGAGTGATGGATATAAATGATGAACCACTGGAGCTGCGATCGTAAAAGTTTCATGCGTATAGCTCGTAAATCTTGACTCTACTTGCACGGATACAATAGGAAACTGGTTACAAAATTGTGTAAAATATTAATATATAATAATAATAAAATATTAATTTGCAAGCCACAATTGAAAATAGATGACTTCGGAGATGTTTTTAATTTTAAGGTACTTTTAACATCATTTTTACATAAAATGTATCTGTGCTTGTTTCCCTTACAAATATAACCATGAAGATGTCATCTTTCTGCTTGTAGCCCTCAGATGAGTAGCCATGATATTTGTCACTATTTTTCCAACTGCAGTCGTTTTAAGCAACCACAGTTTTCCTTCTGTATCGAGTTTCCTCTGCTATACTTTGTTTCAAGTATCCACAGTTTCCCATCTGCATACCTGGTTCGGCAAACAATGGCACTCCTTTTCATTTTCAATTACTGCAGTTTTAATTGTTTATGCATAAAACAAACAGGCACTTCATCACCAAGCAGTCTTCATTTACTAGCGACAGGGCTATAATAATATCTGAAGTCAGTTTTATGACTTTCCTATTCCAAACAGCCCTCCTTTCTGTAAAAATATTTTATATTGCTACATATATGCATTACTTTAAACATATTTTGTGTAATTTTTGTGTTTTTGCTGAAAGGGCCAGGAATATAATTAAGTTTGCATGAACAAAAGCAGCGGCCGAGTTTCCTCTAATCCCCAAATGCGAAGTCTGATCTACTCCCCAAGTTCTCTTCAGGCCTTTGTCCTCCCAACTGCAGTGTTTTCAGGAATGGATCTTATAATATTTGGTGAGAAATTCTTCAATACCTGTTAGGAATATTGACCTCTTCTGAGTCGAGATTTAGTGTTATGCATGTAGCTGTTAGAAATTTTTCAATCCTAATCAAACCATCGAACAAAGTCTCGAAAAAAAGAATCTGAGGTGAGCTGGATCCGAAACTATGACCCCAATTTTTAGGAGTGTGTGCAACTTAATTTACTTGAGTAGATACAACACATTATCAGACGACCCATAGCTAGGTGGCAGGAAGTCGGAAACAGGCCAATGGCCTACACCCAAGAAGAGGAAGAAGAGGAGGAGAAGGAGAAAGAGAAGAAGAAGGAAGAAGAGGAGGAGAAAGAGAAGAAGAAGGAAGAGAAGGAGGATAAGGAGAAGGAAGTGTAGAAGGAGAAGAGGAGGAGAGAGGAGAAGGAGGAGGAAGAGGAGGAGAACAATGATGAGGAAGAGGATGAGACGGAAAAAAGAGAAGATGAAGGAAGAGGAGGAGGTGAAAGAGGAGAAAGAGAAGAAGAAGGAAGAGAAGGAGGAGAAAGAGAGGGAAGAGTAGAAGGAGAAGGAGAAGGAGAAGAGGAGAGAGGAGGAGGAGGAAGAAGATTAGGAGGAGGAGGAGGAGGAGGAGAAGAAGAAGAAGAAGGTGGAGGGGTTGATTATTGTTTAATTATTGTTCATCATTATTATTATGAATATTACTGACTTAAAATGTGCTTAATGATCTGTTGGTCTACATGGAAGTGAAAGCAATGGGCAGAGTCGTCAGTTTTCTGCAACTCGAAATATAGTGTTGTCCAGTTCTACTTGTAACATTATTGTATTTCTGAACTGCAAGTATTTCTTTAACATCTCGACCTCAGCTGCCAGTATATCTTCCGTGCATAGGAATTCAAGAAGTCAGATTTCATTCAGATCAGTTATCTTCTTTCCTGTGTCACTCTACATTAATGGATTGCTCGTCAGTTAGTTGGAATCGAAACTGAATAAAGTGACTCTGAATTGAACAACTACACGTATAAACCTGTGTGTCTGATCTCTTTCCTTGCCTCTAAATATAACCAACTGTAGCAAAAGCTTTCTAGAAACTGATAGTTTCTCAGTTGAGAAATTTCCCGAAATTTATGGTGTTCCCGATTCATTGTAGTAATAGCCAGACTCCACGGATCTGTCTAGACTGAAGACACACAAGTATGAGTATCACAATCAAAATGAAGAACATGATCTCTCAATTCTCGTCAGTTCTGATCTAAAAATGATAATGAACTTGAACTCGCTATTTCCTGACATTAATATTTTGTGACGATGATGTGTTAATACTGTTACTGTTTCTCTGGTCATTATCCATCGTTCTGTTTTTGTTTAAAACATGCAGCGTTTCGGAGACTGGATTTTGTCTCCGTTTTCAGGTTGAACATATTTAGTTGGGCCCAATCGATAGAGCTAGTCCGTCCGGAGACAGGTACTAGATCTATGGGTTGGACCGAACTGAATAGGTTCAGCTTGATAATGGAGAGAGAATCCAGTGTCCTAAGTGACTAATGACCAGAGACAATAACTTTATAAATTTTTCATGATAACTAACGCAGAAATATTATTACATTTATAACTCAAAAGAAGAGAAATGTGGATATGGGATTTCTTTTCAGAGTACTGCCTTCTGGTGAGTTCTTGCTACTTGCTTGCTACCTTATCCGTTTACTTTTCAACCCTTAAAATGGAGGCAGTTCTTTCCTCCGAAACGTCGGTAAACTTCTAACATAGTTCTCGGCATCACCTTCAAGAAGATGGTTGTTTTCGCAGTCACCATCATGAGAGCCTCCACTCATTTAACTGGAATTGTTTTCTTTTTGTAGTATATTGAACAATAGCCCTGTCTCTATCGCGGACAGTACAACGTGGAATGATTGGATGATATCGAAGAATGAGCTGGAAAGCATGTAGTCAGGTTTCAAACTATTCTTCCAGAATTTGACTGGAGGAATTGAAGAGAGCCACAAAAATAATTGTGCCACATCCGATATTCGAAGTTGTCGCATTTTACACGCAATATGGGAATGATTCGTGGCTTGAAGGAATTCTCTGCCATTTGCCCACCACCTCCATCTAATACCGAGGCTGAATATGCACGGAGCCATACCGCAACGTCCCCATACGCCCTTGTTGTGTTGTGTTTCATAAAGCACAGGAATACTTACCTTCATGTACAAAATTTGAGACTTTTAATAAAGGAAGACTTACGATCTGCAGCCGCTACGTTTGTGATATTTTTATAACTAGTTCCCATGTTAAATCGCTTATACCCACCAAATGCGTGATAAAAAGATCAGTACACACCTTACATCCTAACAGCCTCTCTGATGCTACAGAATGCTGTGGGTATACATTAAACTGCTGTAAAAACATTTCCGATTCAGAATATTTTATGGCTAACATGTTGATGTTAACCGTGACAAAGAATTGGAAATAGCGAATAGTGGACGGAATAGAATGACATGAAGTTCATGGCCGAATTTAATGAAAATCAGGCCGTCGTTTTAGGAGTTACCGGGGAGGTTTCACGCATAGAGATACTAATATTATGGTGCTGTGCAGCCCGTCTGCAGAACAGGAAGGAGGCTGTAGCAGCCCAACACTCTTTGTCACCTCGAGCTTTCTCATCACTGTGATTCAGACCTCTTTAAAATACTGGACAATAGTAGTATTTGAGAGAGAATGGATGGGTCATTCTGCCGACCGCGGTAGCCTAGTGGTTGAAGTGCTGCGCTACAAGCCGGAAGGGTTCAAATCCCGATGAGGTCATTGGATTTTTTTTTTTCAGTTGACCTAATCCCTCCAGTCGCACTAGGCCCTGAGGTTTACTCAGCTAAATGAGTACCAGGAATTAATTAAATAATTTTCCTGGGAATAAAGCGCGGCCGGCGCGTAAGGCTGACGACCTTACCTTACCTGTCTAGATAATGTGGGACCCTCAACGTCTCACAACCCTATGGGCCTTATGGGCCTTCACGGCCTGGTACAGGGATAGCTTTACTTTTTTTTATTTCCATATCTGCTGACCTCATGTTTTAATTCGGAACGGATTTCGGTGAACACAGAACGTTGACTGGTGACTTTAATTTTATATCATATCGGGCAAATAGAAAACTGTATGAGGTTTGAGGTGCCCATAGCGGTGGCTATGCCGAGTTTTACAATCTGTATTCCGGGATGGTCCGAACTACACGACGTCGCAGCTCGGAACATAGTACCTCATTTTAGAAGAACTGCTCATAGTTCAAAAGTTGGTGTGCTCTGAGCGAGTATGTGTGGGCGCATGCGTGGACACAACGTGTAGAACATCAATAAGATAGAAAAGGTCTACGTCAGGCAATTTTCATCATGCTGAATATTTACCGAATGGAAATGGACGAAATTGTTGCTATGCGGAGTGTGATTGGAATTTTAACAACATTTATATACGGGGAATAGCTGCTCATCGAGGTTAATGAGGCCATCAAAATAACAGACATCTGTTCTTCTCTGGTTTGTGTCCACACCTGTTTGTTTGAATGCAGGAATAGGAGCGGGGTAGCGTCTGCTTCTGCTTACACTGACTGGTTAGTAAGGACCGTGATCTCTAATTTTTGAATCACATTATTGAGTCAATGTAATGGAGATTGCTGCTTTCTTTTATTCGACCTCTTGTAGTCTGGCAGGTATTTGCCAGTGTTGCAAAGAAACCCGCTACCTCCATTTTGTACCCTGAAGATTGAGACATGTTCCACCGAAACGTCTCTAAATCTACAAATGAGCATTAGACTATGTGGCTTCGTAACCCAAAAGTTAGTAATCGTCATGGTCACCGTCGTGGGGTTCGGAGAGACGGTGATGCACTTAGTAGACTTGTGACATAATCATAAAGTGAGACATTTTGTGCTTCTTGTCACTTCTTTTTTTTTAGTCTCTTGGCTCGGTGATTGTATGATGTTTTGTCTTCTGGATACTGACTATGCTCTCATTTCCTCCTGGTTTTCCTCTTTTCTTTTATCAGTTGTTTGATTTCTAACGGGATATTTTTAGTTTCCTGCTTGGTGTTTGGGAGGAGTGTAGCTTGTTTTACGGCTTCTTGTAAAGTCAAAATGAATTTTTCTGGTTCTCTCTCTAACTCTTCAGGTGTCTTTAAACTGATTTTTGGGTGTATCTTGTCATCTATTATGTTTTTGTATATTTGCCAATCGGTTTTTTTATTATGTAGTCTAGATGCTTTTTTAATATTTATTACAGTAGTGCTGATTGTTCCAATTACTGGAGTATGATCTGATGATAGGTCACAATTAGAGTGTACCTCCATATATGATTTGGATATGCCTCCAGAGACAAAAGAAAATCAAGTAGATCATGTATTTTCCTTGGGTCAGATGGCCAATAATTAGGAGAGCCTGTTGACAGGAAGGAGTAATTATTTTCTTGTAGGATTTTGGCAAGTTCTCTGTCTTTAATAGTGGTGAGACGCGATCGCCATAGGGTGTGCTTGCAGTTATAGTCTCCTCCTGCTATAAATTTGGGCCCCAGATTGTGGAATAATTCATTAAAATGTCCTTTCTTGACGTTATGGCGGGGAGGACAGTATACTGCAGATACTGTTATATCATAAGACAGTGTTTTGACTCTGACAGATGTTGCTTGAAGATGTTCGGCTGGTAGTGATCGATCGTATTTTTTATTAATATTTCAGATCCAGCGTGGGCTGTGTTATCAGGATGGTTGGTATAATATAATTGGTAACCAGGGATTTTAAGGAATGACTAGTCGGTGAAGTGGGTTTCACTGATTAACATGATATCAATGAATTGATTTTGAAGGAATATTTTTAGGTGTTCTCTATGTTGAATTATACCATTGGCATTGCATATGGCAATTCTGAGGAATACTAAAGAAAATAAAGAGAAAGAAGAAGAAATCGTAAGTCAAATGTTGGTGAATAACGGATACCCCCCCTTCCCGCAAATTTTGAAACAAAAAAACTAAGTTCGTCTGCTGTTGAGACGCAACTCAAATCGCAAATGGGTCACCTTTACATATTTTGGCCCATGGGTCAGGACAATAGCCAAGATGTTCCGAAATGCGGACTTGAAGGTGGCATTTAGAACTAATAATACGGTAAAACACCACGTAAGTATGAAAGAAATAGCACCTGATGTTTATAATCTGAGTGAAGTGTATCAAAAGCTACGCAAAGCGAACCCCCCCCCTTTAATAAGTAGGGCAGACGGGCCCCACGTTTGGAATTAGACATAAAGAGCACGTTAGAGGCATACAAACAAATGGCAAAGTTCGAAACTCTCCCAACACGTACTCGA